ACCCGCGGGCGGCGACGGCGAGACTGACCGGGCGGTGCGGGGCCGCCTGCCTTTCTCTTTCTCCCCGCGACAGGTGAGCCCCGAGGCGGCCGGAGACGAGGATTCCTGCTCGTCGTCAGCGCCGCTCTCGCCGTCGTCCTCGCCCCGCTCGCTGGCCTCGGGCTCGGGGGGCTGCGCGCCCAGCAAGTGCATCTGCAACAGCTGCGGCCTGGAGATCATCGACAAGTACCTGCTCAAGGTAAGCCGCCTCGCCGTTTCCCAGCCGGAGGAAGGCCAGCCGGGGGGGGGACGGCACCGGCACTGGTCAGGCTTCAGAGTCCCCCAGCAAGGCGTCCTCAGGCAGGACCTTCGGCGCACGAGAGTTCGGGCCTCATACCGGGGCAGTCCCTGCGCCTGCCGGTTCTGGAGCCTTAAGGACAGGGAAGACTTGCAGAGTGGCACTTTTCTCAATCCATTGAAATCCGTGGGTTTAGATGAGTGTGACTCTTTTTAGGATTGCCCTGTTGCTATTATGAACAGATTTCCAGGAGTATCCGTTTTCTGGATAGAGACTGGGCAGGGCCCTTTGAAAGGTCAGCAAAAGCCAAGTAGCTAATGCAGCTCAACAGGAGGAAAGAGGCTCTGATTTAAAGCTCCTGTCTTCTGAGACAGCAAATGAGTAGAACTCTGTTATCCGCTTGTCTTGTTGAATAGATGTTTAGGACAAATTCTGCTAAACGACTGCATTTCTTTAGTGTATGACCAGTGAAAAGTTAAAACACATCATAACTCTGTTCTTTCAAAAACTTCCTTATTACCTTAAAGAAGGTACCTTAAAGAAGTAGGTTTCTATCAGAGTTCTCTTTAATAAGAAAGCCATACAAAAACTACTACTAGCTGAAATTATAATTACCGAATGTGCACAAAAATGGCTTTTATTAATTGTGATGTTAAGTCTGGACCAATTAAATTCCTCTAGGTTACAAACATTCAGGTTTCCACTCTGCTTGTTCAGGTCTGATATTAGCTTTGGTATCAAAGTGCACTCCCCTCACCCCAAAAACAATTAAAGGGGAGAGGAAGCTGTTTCCTGGTATTTAGTATGTAAGGAGTGCAGATGGTATTGAGATTTAATTGGGTAAGTTTTGAAAGATTTCAAGGTGTACAAAAGGCTGTTGAGACAGAGAAGCTATGGCTTTTCTCCCTCTGAAATAAAAACTAAGCTTTGTATCAAACCCTTATCAGACCTGAAAACAGAGAGGGAAATAGTCCTTGTGTTAGAGCAGAAGGGTAAATTTTTGTTTCCCCATCATATGCAGAAACTTGTTTCTTGCTTATTTAGCAGGTCCTAATATTATTACTACTAGGGGGGCACATTTTTATTATTTTTTGAACCCACTGACCTACTGTTTAAGCTAGGGGAAGTTGCTTCTCCACTTGCTTCCAAACAACTTAAGGTACAGTATACAAATTAGTGTCATGTAATCTGAAATTATCTGCTTGCTTTTGTGCTCAATGGAGAAAGTTGTTTCTAACAAACCTTGTTTGTGAAAGGATACACTCTGTAATATCACTATTGATTCAGTAGTTGTTAGCTCTGAAGAATAATTTTGGGGTTGTTATGTAATTTCGTCCCTCATTTTTAAACTGTTGAAAAGTGAGACTGTCATTGCCATTTATTCTCATTTTAATATCTGTGTAAAATGTGGGGTATGTAAAAAAGGAAATATAGATGGAAGTGGTATACTGTGTTCTTGTTGAAAAGTATGGCAATATGTTTCTCTGTACCAGAAATGTAGTGATTTCATAGTAGCTAGTATAGGCTGGATTTGGGACTTGGAAATGCAAATTATTTTGGTTGGGTTCTAGGTAATCAGGTGTCCATTGACTATAACTCCTGCTCATGAAATATTTGGGAAATACTTGAATTTTGTAATTAGAGTATGTGGAAGCTGATTATTTGTCAACTAGAACCTGAGGTTCTCATGCCTTTCTCAGCTAATGCAAGGTTTACATGAACAGCATGTAAATAAATAGTAGTATAGATAGTAAAAGATAGTGCTGTTGGTTTCATCTGTTTTGAACATCTTACATCAAGAAAGTGACTGATCCCCATGTTAATGGAGAAATCTGCAACTGTGTGAATATGTTCCTTTCCTCTGTCTGAAGTAGTTGATCCTGTAGTGATGGGCCTTGAATCCAGATCAGTAAGCAAAGTAAATCTGAGTATTGTAGTAGGTTCCAGCCAGTAAATTTTAGCTCTCTTTGTGGAGCTGTAAAATTTCAAGGAGTTTTGAAGTGATGGTGAAAATTTGGGGGTGGAGAATTGAAAGACATGCAACTGATCTTACTTCTTGAACAATTGTATTATTTGTCTTGCTTCTGGAATTTAAAAGTGTAAATACCTTAAAAAGCAAAAATTGCAAGTATACCCAGTATTTGAGAGGCCTACATACTATACTGTCTTTATATATTTACCTTTTTTGCCACCTGAGATGTGAAAAAATGAAATATATAAAAATGTAAAAATAGAAAATAGAAAGCTTTTGTAGTAAGGAAATTTTTTCATTTGCATTTAAACACTCTTATACAGTCACAATAGCATATTTTGTATTGAATTAGCTTCATAATTTTGAGAACGCTATATTCCTCAATTCAGGTGGCATATAAATTTTCTAAATAAGTTATGGAGTAAATTAGTTCTTTTAAACAAACACTTAAATACTTCAGATCTTCAATATACACTGAAATTAGCATTATCTAATGCTGTAGATTGTCCTGCATAAAAATTTGAACTCTGCATATTGAGTGAATACACCTAAGTTGTGATTTAGAGCTTTATTGTTAGGGTGGCTTCAGTGGACAAGATTGTAATTTGAAATATGGGGGGCGGGGTTAGTGAGCTCCACCTAGCTAACCTTTGCTTATTAAACATGATGTGGGGCTAATGTAGGCTAGTATCATTTCTTGTAACTGACTACCCTAACCTGGCATCTGGTTTTGCTGGTTTTGTCATTTCTTAAGGAAAGCAGTCTTGTTCTTTATCAAATACGGAATTAAATTCTAATGTTATAGATAAATACTCTAAAAATAACTGTCATTAGATAATGGAATCCTGAAAAAACCTGACTGTTTACAAATGCTTGACAGCATTTGTTAACAGTTTATGATGGAAGAGTCAGAACACTGTTATCTGATACCTACAGTTTGGCTAACGATGTGGAAAACTACCATTTCTCTTACACTATATGTCAAATACCTTGTTCTGCTTAAAACTCTCAGTTCGTATAATTTTGTGGTCCTGTTCCACCAGGATATGTCTCAGTAATACCACAAACATATATATTTTCCTTGTTCTGTCATTTAAAGGAGCTGCTTACTGAAATTACTGACATTGCTTGGAACATTGTTTTATTTATAAGAAACTGTAACAGTTGCTGCTCGTTGCTTTGAGGGGCCTCATTCATTCATTCTCATCCTATCGTGGAATACTTCTAAGGTAGCTTTGGTTGCAGTTGGGAAAAACCTTTCTCTTCCTAAAACCCTGGAGAGCTGTTGGCAGTCAGGGTAAACAGTACTAAGCAAGATGGGGTATGGTCTGATTTAATATAAGAAAGTTTCGTATGTTTGTATCGGCTCATCCCTAAAGACCAACCTACAACTTTTGCTGAAGTTCTTTGACTGCAAACTCAGGAGTATAATTTTAAACCTAATCATTCTCTGGGGCCCTGATCAGAATTATACTCATAATGACAGCAAGTGTGGTGTAATGGTTAGAGCGTCAGAGCAGGACCTGGGAAATCCAGGTTTGAATCCCTGCTCTGTCATGGAAACTTCCTTGGTGAACTCGGGCTGTTTGCACACTCTCAATCTAACCAACCTCATAGGGTTGTCATGAGGGTAAAATGTGGGAGAGGAGAACAATGTAAGTGCCTTTGAGGCACCACTGCAGAGAGAAGAGGTGTATAAGTGAATTAAATAAACAATACTGGGGAAGGGGATTGGTAGTGGCCCCCTGTGTATTAATCCCTGTTTGAGAAGGAAGCACAGACACAAGCCCCCCCCAACAAAAGGCTTTAAAGAAGTCCCACTGTATATATTTAGTGAAATGGAATGTAAGAGTTAAGTACCCCTTCCCCAGTGTCACAACTCTAAACCTTGTCATATCCATGTTGTAGTTCACATTTTAAGGCCAAGTTGCATTTCTAGAGTTCCCATGAGACACAACTCTGAAGTTCCTTTGTTTGGCCTGAACACAGTAAGGTAAACTGTGATGTATTTGTGAATGATCCAGAATAAACTTCACATAAACAAGAAACTGCTGCAATTGTTTCTCTTCTGTGCTGAAGCGTATTCACAAAACTTCTCCCTTAGTGCAGTCCAATATGTCATGATGTCAATTATACCACTTTGCTGGGTTAAATATAGTAAATTCATTTCATGATGTATGCCATGTTTTCTCTTCTAATAGCAATCCATTTAAACCTTTTGCACATACATTTATTCTAAACTCCTGATCTGCTTGCATATATAAACTGTTAACTAGTTTATGGCTTGGAGCATATCTACACTAGTCTCATTTTCACATGATACATCACTGAAAAATAGCCCAAGGATCTGTATCTTGCCAGTTTTTTAGAGCTGCACTAGTGACTTCTTTTAATGAAAGTAACTACTTCTTTAAAGTGGGATTTTCTCATGATTTTTTCAGACAACCTTCTTTGCTGATTATCCTACACCTTGACCTTCATGACGGAAGCACATTTAAAATGCTTTTATTTGATTTTTGTGGGTTTTCCAATCTAATCACCATAGCCTCTTTCTCTTAATAAAAAGGTTTTCTGGACTTTCACATTTTTTTCTTTTGAACACTGTTTCCAACAGTTATATGACTTACTCCTTTTCAGGTTGCTCTGGAGAATTTTTCAGATAATTTTGTTTTCCCTAAAATATGTAGTATCTCCTCTTTGGACTTCTCATGTTAACATGCATTTCTTTTTTGAAGGCCTCTTTCTTCATATAAATCACCAAAATTAATTAATTACATCAAGTGCAAATTTTCTTATTTCTTTCATAGGTGAATGATTTGTGCTGGCATGTGCGCTGTCTCTCTTGCAGCGTTTGCAGAACCTCTCTAGGAAGACATACCAGCTGCTACATCAAAGACAAAGACATTTTTTGCAAACTTGATTATTTCAGGTATGCTATCCATTACTAATAGGTGACATTAGAATTGTGTAATTTTCAGTGTAGAAACTTTCAGTGTGTTATGAATGCTGATGTCCTATCAATACTGTTTTGTGTTCAGTTTGAATGCCTGTCTAAGTATGTGCTACAGAGAAACAAATGGCTGTGCAGACAAATGTGGAGTGAGGGTCAAAATAGAAATTAGGTTGGTCTGCAGTTCAGAAGGGGTCTAACTTTTCTGTTGTATGCATTTCACCAATCAAAACAAACCCTTCCTACATGTTCCATTTTCTAGGGAAAAGGACAGGAGAACAGGGTACCTGTTTCCTCCCAACCCCAGAAGGCCAATAACCAGTTTCAGTTGGCAAAAATATGACACTTCACAATTGCTGTTGCTCATTAATGGATCTCCCAGTGTCTTAGCTATTTGGCCCTGAGCTGTATATTTAGATGCACACACCATTTGCCTTAGATCCTTTGATGATGTATCCTCTTTTTCAGTTTAAAGGCTTGAGGAAGATGGACTCAGGGCTGCCGACAGAGGGAGGGGGGGCAAAATTCAGGGGCCAAAGTGAGTTGTAGGGCCCTGAGCTGGTATCATGCAGTTTTCATGAAATGCATTTTTAAAAAATATTCTGATGCAGCTGTGAATGCAGCCACTAGGGGCACAGGGAAAGCAGAGGACTGCAAAGAGCTTGGCCTTAAGAGAGCGCGGTGGAGAGTTCAGCCTTTCTGTAAAGTTCACTATGAGGCTGAGTGAAACTGCTGGTCAGATCTTGCTAAACCCATCAGCCAAGACCAGCCAGGATAGGATACAGCATCCTAAAAAGGACTATGCTTTCCTTTTTCCTTTAGTTCCACCCAGTTCCTGCACAGCCAGATATTACCAAGAAGCAGCCTTGTTAGCATGTGGTAGAAAAAAAGATAACTTTTTGTTGTCTTTTTCTACATCCTCTTTTCCACACTTGCTTCATTTTGCTCTCTTTATTTTGTGATCTGCTATTCATATATCCCAACTTCTAACCCCCCCCCCCCCCCCTATTTTTTCAGTCTTAATGCCTTCTTACCCATCCTGGTTAGTTACTTAGAACATATTTAAGTAGTAGTCATTGTCGTACAGAAGCAATCCTCTGTTAATACTATGGACAGAAGGGGGAAGTGAATATTGTCACATAATCTATTAAAGTAGTAAGAGTATGGCCCTAAAATTCACATGATCGTCCTGAAGCTGGTCCAATGTTGACTTTCCTAGTTTTATTTTCTGATTAGTTGTGCCTGCCACTAGACAGATATATGGACATGTGGATCCTTTTATTATTATTATAAAGGGATTTGTTTTGTTGTATGTGGTTTTGATCATGTGGGGGACGGCCCAGATAGAATCTTTGTCCCCGGGCCCATGGTGACTCTAGGCAGCCCGGGATGGACTTGACATTTAAGTGGCAAGAGGTTTGTTCTCCTCGCAGATTAAATCAGAAAAGGCATCAGATGGTTTTCTCTGGCTGCTCTGTGTAATTGGTAGGCAAGAGGGCCTAGAACCTGGGACATGGCTGCTGCCTGGCACTTGCACAGACACTCAGTGGGTATTGCATGAAAAAAGATTGAACAGAGCTATGTTGTCTAAGTGTCTTTTGAAATTGTGAAGTGAATGCATCACTTGTAGTTAACAGTGTCCTTTGGTGAAGGGTATGGGTTTGGAGGATGCAGCCCCTAAATAGCCAATGATACCCTAGGCTGAAGTAAATCAAAGTCTGTTGGTAATACACTGGTATCTACATCTGCTGCTCATGTTCACTGCCAGCATGGTGGTAGTATGAACCTGTGGCCTTTGAGATTGCTGTAGATGTTTTACAGTTTGGGAATGGAATTGTGGCTGCATTTTTCTGCATATTTGGAGGTTATGATATGTCCTACCCCCCATTATCTGCCCAGAATGTCCGCATACAGAACGTTCCCTATGCTATTAGGCTTGTTACTATCTTGTAAGTGGCAGAGTAAGCAAACACTAGACTTAAGCTCTTAGGTGCTTGATTAGATTATAGCAGTTTGGCAAAACCAAAGTTCTAGCTTCACATGAAATGTGAATATCAGCATTTTAACCTTGTAAATTAAAGAATGGAAAGATTCAATGCCATCTGGCAGCTATTGTCAGACAGCATTCTCAATACAGTTGGACATACCTCTTACATCTGCTTTTATACAAGTATTTTCATTTTAGGCAGCCTCTGCTATTCCCCTTCCTCCTCAATTATGAAGACTGCATAATACTAGTCCTTGTCCAATGGTCCTGATAACATGTAGTATTTTATTAATATCATATGTTAGTGTATAAACATAATTCTAATCATCTCTGACTGCTGAAAAAACCACAGTGTCTACATGTGAAGATGTGTATCAACGCAAAAAAAGGGGGGTGGAGGAGACCTCTGACTCAGCTGGCAGCTGGGCAGGTGAGGGAGGCACTAATGAGCATAAACTATGCCCATTGCTGTTTCTCATGCTGTTGTCCCCAGTGGTTTGCCTTGATTGGTTGGATGGAGAATCAGCCCTGATTGCTGGTGTTTGGCACATGTGCCTAGTATTTGCCTACTTTCCTATTTCAGGTGGGTTTCCTATTTCAGGTGGGTTTTGATGGAAAGGATATTGTGGAGCCATTGGTAATTATATTCTCCTGGAACAGTTGCACTATTGGCTGACACACTTCCATTTTAAATTTTAAATCTCAATTTAACAAATTATACATTGTTTTAAAGTCTTACTATGTTATTTGGTTTCTCTTACCTCTAAAGCAGTAGTACTAACAAACCTTATCTGTGAAAGGAATTGGTTAGGAATTGTATGTCCTGATTGGTTCTGTTTCACTTTCCAGTGTACAAAGTATTACGGTTTTTAGCTTATTTGCCCCTATTTTTGACATCAACAAATGGACTAGTTCCAAAACAAGTGTCTAGCATGAAAAGAATATTCAAAGTTCTCTTCCCGGACTTGGACAATACCACTATTCATATTTAAGTGACCTCTTAGATTATTTTGTATTCTAATCTAATAAACATGACTATGTAAGCATGTTTCCTAGGCAGAATGATGGTATAAAATTTCATTTCAGCCATCCAGTTATCAATACTGTTTCATTTAATGTTGTGTATATAGTAAAATATGGCTCCAATACTGAATTACAGTTACCCCAAAGCAACTTTTCTACATTACATAATTTCCATTGCACTTCCTGCAAGAAGTTCTGGGAGGCATAAGGAGTCCCTTCCTCTTTCTCCTTGGTTTCATCTGTTTCCCTCCTTCTGCCCTGCCCATGGGGCTGTGGCATGGTACAGTATGAGAATAAGGTTTATTAAGGCACCATCTTGGATTTTAGGTTTATTAATTACATGTTTAACTGTATATTTGATTTTATCTATTTTATCATTGATGTATATTGCCCAGAGTCCTGTTTTTACAGGGATGGGGCAATTCATAATTGAAGAAATAATATCAAAAGTATAAAAACATACTGCAAGGCAAGCAATTCTGTCTCATATTTGTTTAGTAAAGAAAGCAGTTTCCCATGTTTACTATGTTTACTATGCAAATGTATATCTCAGGTGTTTACTATGCAAGAGTGTTTACTATGCAAATGTATATCTCAGGTAACTTCATAATCTGAGTGGCAATGAGACCACAAATGGCTTCTGTGATTATTTTACCCTTTCTGTTGTTGTAGACGATATGGAACCCGTTGTTCTCGCTGTGGCAGGCACATCCATTCTACTGACTGGGTCCGAAGGGCTAAAGGAAATGTGTATCACTTGGCATGCTTTGCCTGTTTCTCCTGCAAGAGGCAGCTTTCCACAGGGGAAGAGTTTGCTTTGGTTGAAGAGAAAGTCCTCTGTCGTGTACATTATGATTGCATGTTGGATAATCTGAAAAGAGAAGTAGAAAATGGTAATTCTGCTTTTGTTCTGTTTTGTTCTGTTATTTGCCTTCTTGAGTAGATTCAACTTATCCTTTAACTGATGTGAGAACATAAATTATGGGTTACAGTGGTAATTTTAATGCAGTTGCATCCAAACTGTCTAAAGGCTGCCTGTAGCACTGAAGAGAACTGTTTTTCTTTCCCACTTCTCTGCATGGTAAAGTTATCTTCTGGCTGCTTCAGGCCTGTTCTATTTGCAAGTGCACAGCATTAGGTTACTGCTTAGTAAATTATTGCCTATATTTTCCTACTTAGCAGTGGGATTCCAAGGGATAGGCTTGTTGGCCTTCACCGAAGTGACCCAACTATACTGGTAATGGTAACTTATTCATTGAGCAGATTGGAATTAATAACTTGAATTCTCCCCTTGCAATCCTGCATTGCTGTACTTCTATTTTGAAACTCATGGAATCTTTTACATGATGCTAAAAATGTTTATTTGTTTTTTTATCTGAAACACTTGTTATGAAAGAAAAAATCCTGACTACATCCTCAGTGATGTAATCTTGGCCATTAGTGACCAGATTCCAAATGTATATTAGTTTCAAAATAATGTTGCCATTTCCATATTTAACTATAACCTGAATACTAGGGAACGTATTTGAGCATAATGTATGCAATTGACTGATGTTGGTGCTGGCAGTCCTTGGACTTGGTGGTCTTTTTTTTAATTTCAGGAAATGGTATTAGTGTAGAAGGTGCTTTGTTAACAGAACAAGATGTTAATCATCCAAAACCAGCAAAAAGAGCTCGGACCAGTTTCACAGCAGATCAGCTGCAGGTAGAGGCCCTGGCATAGTACAGTGCTATAAATGAAGTTGGTTGTGGGGTGGGGGAGGAGGGAAGAAATAAGAGCATAAATATTTTATACTTTATATAACTTTAGAATTCTGTTAAAATGAGCTGGATATGAAGAAAGCATTCTCTCATGGTATCAAGGCAGCATGTTTCTGGATTACTTTTGTGAATTCTAGCCATTTCATATGAAATAGTAACTCTTCAAGCTTTACATTTCATTTCCCTGAAGGCAGTTGGTAATCCTGTAAAGTGAAAACGTAAATGCTGATCTGTTTTGACTACTTGCTGAAATTCATTAAATCAGACATTTATATCACTGAACTTAATTACAATAGGAGACTAAATAGTTTCAGGCCTATGTAATATGAAGAGAGACTAGAAAATGTGCAAAAAATGACTTTACAGGAAACATAAGGTTTCACCATCTTAAATTTCCTCATTGATGCTACAGCAAGAGACAACTGACACTGGTTCTTCAGTGTGAATACAATGTCCTTTTCCTATTGGCACAATGATGGTCTTGTCTAAATAGTTTTAGGCATTAAACTTGGAAGGACTCTTAACTAGTCTAATGCCACTCTTTCGTTGCAAGAAGGATGGCTCACTGCTGCATAAATGTGCATACTGCTCTGTTCCAGGGTTCCTGTACACCACTCTTCAATTACTGCTGTATTCTGCAGCAGTTTAAGTGCCTTACATTTAAAAAAATTCTGGTCCAACATTTCTTTAGACGTAGCCATCTAATCTATGCTATGTGGGCCCAGCTTTCTTTTAAAAGTGTGCAATCAGTTGGCTGTCATATTTTAAGGCCTTGAGAACAACCAGAAGCTTTCTTGCTGACAGAATAAAGCTTTTATTAACTTTAATAAAGACTTAGCGATAGATACTTGAAAATCAAGCATATGATATTTTAGAGCAAATCTGAAACCTTATCTACTTTACTGATTTTTTTATAAACCCAGAATTAGACTTGGTTCTCCCCATTTGAAAAACAAAGGTATGTATGTATATTACCTGTATAAACACCACGGTGAGTTCGGAATTGACTATGCTTTGCATACATGGGTTTCCTGACACACAACATGTGGTGAAGCCCTGTAATATACATCTTTTATGGACCCTAAGTACTCATAATACCTTTTAATAATTCTTTATAATCTTTCCCTACAAAGCTTTTTTCACCCATTTGTTTCTCAGAACTTTTCAGTTCCTTTAGAACCTTTAGCAATACAACCATTCTTTCATCAAACCATTTATATGGTTTAACAAATGTATTAGCCTCAGGTATACTCCTGTTCATGCTTAATCGGGAATAAGTGTCATTCTACTAACTGAGAATTATTTCCAAATAAATAGGTACAGGATTGAGCTTTGCAGGAATACAATGCCTTATTTTGGCTTTATTTCAATACACACATTTTGGTATGAGAATTTCAAGTTTTATTGGACCCAAGCTAAAGGCTGTTTTGCCTGATATTCCATGCATCATTTTTTTGCCCCATGGCATTTTGTCCAGGGGAGTCCATGACTTGAGGCAATGCTTTTTGAGGGGTCTCAGAGGACTGCTGTGGGAAGGGGAAGGCAGGGAAATCTGCCACTATGAGCATCTTTCTCCTAATTCAATTTTAGGACCCAATACAGTATATTAAGATGACTTTTAAAAAATAGGTGGTCATAAGCTTGGAACCCTAAGAACTATACAGGGAGATTTACGAAAAGATGCAAAGAACTTGTTTCCAAAAAGATGCTGCTGCTTCTACCTTCAGACCTATCCATCTTTAACACTATTAATATTGTTGAACTGTTGAATTCTCTTATTGCTCATATGGGGTTGCATCTTGCCTAAAATTTCCAATAGGACAATGTTTGCAAATTGCTCCCTCCCACAGCAGACCTCAGATCCCCCTCCCAGTTATTCTTGTGGTTCACTGTCCCCCAGGATCAGCCTTTTGGGAAGAATTTTGGACTGAAATGGGAGGAGAGAAGTGTACTGTACAGACAAGAAACCATTCTGTCCATGGAAATTCTAGGCAGGATTCAAGGCATGACATTTTTGTTCCATTAACTATAAACTTTATAGACTTTAATATTAATTCAAATACTTTATCTGGAGATTCTGAAATTATCGTGTTTTTTCATCTCCCATTTCAGTTAAATAATAATTTATGGGGGAAAGTGTTGATAATTGAGAGGCCCTTGCTTCTTATTAGAAAGGTTAGGGTTGGGGTTTGGCTAGACATTTCTAGTCAGCCTAAAATGTTAGATTCACTGAGGAAGGGATCTGTAATGTTTGCTTCACTTTAGAGGTTGTTTGTATTCTCTGGGGTTTTAAAAATGATGATTAAGCAACTCCATTCACAGTGATTACTTCATCATAGTAACCTTTTATTATTTTTGCAAAGTGGTATCCATTAGTTTTTAGGATTAATAGAATATCTGCAACTCTAGAAGAACACGCTGAAATTGAAACTAGCCCCTCTTTTGGACATCTGTTTCCAAATACAAGAATATTTTTAAAAAGATTTTAGCAAAGGGATTCCAGGATCAATCTACAATAAAGTTGGATAGGAGCATTCAAATGCCTGATCTGAAGACCATTAGTATTGCATTTCCAAGTCTGTAACAGCTGAAACTAGGAGAAGCTAAACTGTCAGTGTTAGATTAAAAGACAATTGGGAGAATGCCAGTTTCTCAAACTAGTATTAAACCTGTTGAAAATCAGTCTATTTTCATCAATCTTGTCTAATATTTTCTGGGCCATTTGAGGATTTATATGGCTTGTAATATAGCTAGGGATAGTGAAAGTGATGCCTGTAGTACTATGCTGAATTGATTTCTATAACTGATAGATGGGTAGACTGCTCTCTTCTGATGTGAACTGGAAATTTAATTCTTCCTAGAAACTGGACAATATTTAAAATTCTGCCTTATTGCTAAATGGCCACAAGGCTTTTCTTCATCAAATGTGAATTAATGCCCCTGTTTATAATGATGATCTGAAAGGATTCCCTGTAACTTGTTCTCTGCTTATGTGAGTGACTGGTGATATATGCACAACACATCATAGGTAACAGCAAGGAGTTAATCCTAAACAGTGTTTTCAGAATTAAGTCCTATTTTATTCAAATGGGGCTTACTCTTAGAAATGTGTTCTTAGTATTGAAGACTGGTTCACAGTGAAAGAAGTTGGGTCAGGGGAGCACCCAATTATTATTAAAATCTTTTCCCAGTTGTATTTGTTACTTTTTAGCATGTCTATTACCATTTATATATTGTATGAATATGCCCTCGCATGGTGGAAACTGATATGAGCACTTAATTTTATAATGGCTTTCTTTTACAAATATTGTAAAGAAGGCTATCTTTGTGTGTTGGGTGGCAGGGTAAAGACTAGTTCTTGCCATATGATGGTGCATTCAAACAATACATTAATCATGTAAACAGGTATAGCCAAGCTGCCCCACAAAGAGTTCATCACATTAAATCAGATCTCAGATGAATGAGCCAAACCATACTTCAATTTTTATCAGTAGTGGTCTATCCTGCACTCTGGCTAACCAGATTGTTGGGTAGGCTTAACCTACCTTGCTGTGGTTAGACACCTTTTATGTGGACAATATGGTCCCCAAAGCTGCTGTTGGAATTTGCAGTATGACTGCATCTTGGTATCTACGCAGTCTTTATCAGTACATCTGAAATAAAAAAAAACTTCTTACGTTTTTCAGGTAATGCAAGCACAATTTGCTCAGGACAACAATCCCGATGCACAAACACTCCAAAAACTGGCAGAAAGAACAGGCTTGAGCAGGCGTGTGATACAGGTAACTGTACTGCAGTTACTTCACAAGTACCATGAGCAAAGCTCCTCAGTAACATGAAGCTCCCAACAACAGTTTGAATATTAATCAATATTCTCTAGTTAGAAAAGGATTTTCTGTAATATTGGACAATGGTCTTAAAACATAGACTTTTTTCCTTCCATCAAATATTTTTACATCACTAAAGGAACATGATCTAGGGTGATCTTGCATGTGCCAGCAGCAGTGTGAGTAATAATTTATCCATAGTGGACTCTGAAAGCCTACGTAGAATTTCCCAGATACATCGGTCACACTAATTTCAATGTATACAGTGGACTTGGGATACCTGGTGTCAGTCAAAGCACACAAGCAAAATAAGTTTCACTGGCACTGATATGGCAAAGACCCACACCAAAGCTACTTCTGCTTAAATATTTTGTTGCTTGATATGTAATTTAATGTCTGATAATGAATGCAGTTGGAATATTTTGTCTTCCCTTTTTAGGTGTGGTTTCAAAACTGCAGAGCACGCCACAAGAAACATGTGAGCCCCAATCATTCATCCAGTACACCTGTTACAACAGTCCAGCCTTCTAGGCTTTCTCCACCAATGTTAGAAGAAATGGCATATTCAGCATATGTACCACAAGATGGGACAATGTTAACTGCCCTACATAGTTATATGGATGGTAGGTACAATGGCTTGCTATAACAATGTAAAAAAAAGTGCAATGCATTCTTTGCTCAGTGATGCAACCCAAACTATGTCTATTCTAGAATCCATCCTTGTTTTCTCTCCATAGCGCTTTTCGTTGCAGAAATATTTGAGCAATATCTGCTAATGACTCGAAACAAGCAACCCCCCCTACTTAACCACAATACAACAATTGTCTGAAAATTTCATGTTTTAACCGTTTTTTGTAGGATATGTGTCAAGTATCCAACTGTGGATATTTTTCATGTATTCCAGTACTTTAAGAATGAAACCTGTGGTATCATGTGGAAATAATCATACCAGCACCTGAAGCCCAGTTGATATGGCAACCTCACAAGGTTCTTTCCGTGTGGTCCTGCCATTCCGAGTTGCCAGAGTATATTGGAAATGGGCACAGGGTCCCATAATGCTAGAACCCATCTTTTTCCATAATAAGTATTCTGCCATAAGAATATTTTGAAACAAATGCTCCCACACCATTTTGTAGTTTTATTTTCACTATAATACAGATTATAATAATGATATTTTCTGCTTGACCTCTCTTGCCTGTCCCTGCCTGGATAGAAACAAGAGCTGTACAAAGGTTCTTGTGAGAGAATGTGACTGACCAGTCAACTCACTTAAACATGTGCTTATGTTATAGTGGGTCTGCAAATACAATGCACATTTAGTATACAGTCGATAAACCCATCCATTTTGTGAAATGTTTTATTTTGGTGAATTGAGGGAGTCTATTGGAAAGTGTCCCTTACGTTAAAGTAACATTTGTTAAATTGCTAATGCAACTGTTTATGTGAAGGAAAAGGCATTCCTGATGACAAATATTACATTATTTCCCTTTAATTGCTAGGGTTTTCCACTCCAGGTATCTTCTTATGTCTCATTTAAAGCATGAATTACAATACTTGTACATACTCAGTGTCTTCTTACATCTTAAAATGCCACAAGCTTTCAGTCTACAACCCAAAATAAGTTTCTAAGATTTCATATTGTTTGGAATTCTTATATAAGAAATGCAGTACTCGGATTATTGAAAATCATTATTTCTATGACATTAAGTTAAAAAAATCCCATTGCATAGATAAAGGATACATTATTCTAGATGAAAATGAATCCCATTGCTCTGGCTTTAGTAGCTTTCTTCTTTCTAACCAGGTTTATTAAAAGGGCTTCATCTGTTGATGCAAATGTTTGCTTATTCATATATTCTATTGACTACATGGTGCTGCATTTCTAATTTGGATGAGGCATGCAGAATGCCTTACAAATAGTGTAGTCATTGCAGGCTAAACTGTATATGTCATTGTAGAAGTCGAAGCGGTATCTTCATATGCTGGTGAAAATGGGTGCAGCCTCCTGTACTCCAGCCATATTGGTATGGTTTAACTTTTATTCACAAGTATTATTTTTCTACTTCTAAACAAGCTGACCAGCAAATCTTTCTATTTTTGTAGCTCACTCACCTTCTGCTCTTGGACTCCAGCCTTTGCTACCCCATTCAATGACACAACTACCAATAAGCCACAGCTAATTCATTTATTTCAGGGACATGGGACTAAGGAGGTACTGTTGAGTTGCCTATTGTGTTCTCATTGAAAATCAGTTAATCTTTAATTAAAAAATAGCATCCAAAGCATTTGAAGACAATTTTGTTTCCCAGGTATGTAAGTATAGTTGGCCTGCAAGACACTTTTATGGCTTCTCCATAAATATGTTTACAAGACTTATTAAAAAGAAACACATTTTTTGTATTGTCTGGAAGTAGTCCATTATAGTTATGTGTTTGTTAATTTATTTATCATCAAAAGAGCACTTTGCCTAAAAGACAGGACTGACAAGTGTACAAAACGTTTACAATTCTTTGTGAAATTGTAGCTCATCATTAGTTTGTATCTGTAAGTTATTGCTATTAAAATATTATCTGTATTTGAGTTAATGCAGCCTACACTTTGAAGCTTATGTCTGTGAGCTGGCAAAAACTACAGTTGCCGGTGTTCTTGAAATGACCTAAATAAAACCTTCTGTTGTAGCATGCCAAGCAAACACCCTATTGTGTTAATAGTATGGTCGTGAGTATTTCTAAAGGTCAGCATTCTTGCAATAGTAGAACTAGTAAGGAAAGACGTAGTGTGTTCTCTAGCACATAAATGTCTAGTGATTTGTGAGGCACCTCTGAATCAGTGGCTATGACATCTGACATAAATTATTTGTTAACTATAAATGGTCTTGAAACATCAAGTGTGCATTACAAGGTATAAAACAAACTATTGGGACCACTTAATCTCTTTTTAATCTCTCTTCCTACTGGATTAGGTTTTTCCACTCTATATTTCATGTACTAAGGTTTCTGTGATATATCCATATGAAACAAATCAAGGCAATCGTTACATAAAGGAGTTCAGACCACTCTGATAGGAAGACTCCCTAAAGTATTCACAGCTGGGCACAGACGTAATGGCTTGATCAAACTCTTAAGCAGACAGAGGTTTCTTCATGGTTCTATTTCTGCATCCACAGTCACCAGCCTTTTGGGTGTAAAGAGTGAGGGACATTACAACACTGTTTTAGACAACTAATAGTGCTGTTGTCAGAGCCACCAAGAGGAGGGGGGGACTAAGGAAGACTCAGACAAGTCATGGGATACATCTTCAGACTGGGTCTGGGTGGTGGTGGGGCAGATAGAATCTTCATTTGGGGTCTTTTGGCAACCCTGGGTAATTTTCAGTAGCTCTTTGCCTATTGGTTAGTGGGAGAAGGGGGTAACTGCTCTTAGGTAAGGGTTGTAGGATAGGAAGAATCTATGTTAAGTTGCACTGCAGTCTTTCACCACTGGCAATTTTTGTCCTCGAATGTGTAGTTTTTATAATTGGGCTAAACAAGCTAAGGAATGAAAAGTATCATTTTCTTAACAATTTGCTATATGTAATATGACTGGCCAGTGGCCTCCTCTAGCAATTCTTAATTTAAGGCTGCTCCTTAAGAGTTCTTCCTTTTAGGCTATGTACAGATATTGGCTTTCCTGAAAGCTGAAGATGGTATGCAGTCTTTATGTCCTATGAAACACAGAGCTGAATTTACAAGCCAGACCAGGTTGTGGCCTAGACCTTAAATATAGAACAGCCTGGAACTCTGAAGACAGTATTTGTCAATCAAAGCAGCTGTGATGGACTGCACTTTTAAAAAGCTTAGAAATGTGGTACAAACAGCTAAAGGACTGTGAAGGGTTAATTCTTCACAGAAACAGAGAGCCTTGAGTGACAGGCTATTCCAAGAGATCTGATTGGTTAGCATCATCTGAGCAGAGAAAGACTTCTGAACTGGATGTAGAGGAGAATTGAGTCTGATTCTATCCTTAGCTGAGAAGAGTACTGACAGTCGGAATCCAGCCTTGACTGAGGGCAGTTTAACACAGACAGGAGAACTGGGGAAAAGTTGGCAAGGAAGTTTGGGAAGTAGGTGAAGACTCCCATTTGGGCCAAGGAAAGGGGATAGATCTTTTAGTGAGAAAAGAAATTTCTCCACCCAGTCAAACAGGGAGTTAGCTCTGAAGTGTGCAGAGATCCTTGGTCTGGTGTGGTGTAGTTAGAAACCTTAAGAGTCAATTAAAAAGTCAAGATGAGTACTGGTGTTTCAAGAGAAGGGATTTAAAGAGTGTACCAGCCTTCTGGAAACCAAAAGAGTTAGAGAATACTCAAAGTGTACTGAAGTGTTAAAAAAAACCTGGAACAAAAGCCTCTCGACATAAAGCTTTAAGTCACTGTGAAAAGCTTAAACTCTCATTAGCCTGAAATATAAGAACTAAAGTCTGTGCATGTGTTATCTATATTGATTTACCTCAGAAATTTTACCCATGATTTCACCTGACCTTTCCCCACTACGTTAAATAAAATATTTTGTTATTTTTGAATTTCAAAATGCCTTGAGTGCCATTTAAGTTGTTTAAAAGCGGGCTCCTGATCCTTCCCTCAGGTTCTTGGGCTGAGCCAACAGCCAAAATATTGAGAGCCAGTTTGGTGTAGTGGTTAAGTGTGCGGACTCTAATCTGGGAGAACCGGGTTTGATTCCCCACTCCTCCACTTGCACCTGCTGATGTGACCTTGGGTCAGTCACAAGCTCTGGCACAGCTGTTCTTGAAAAAGAGCAGTTTGTGTCAGAGTTCTCTCAGCCCCACCCACCTCACAGGGTGTCTGTTGTGGGGAGGGGAAGGGAAAGGAGTTTGTAAGCCGCTCTGAGACACCTTTGGGTAGTGAAGGGCGGGGTATAAATCCAATCTCTTCTTCTTCTTCTACTGTGACATGACAGGGTGGGCCAGCCAGAGTTCTTCAGCAAAGAAGAAAACACATTACTAAGGCAGTTCAGTGCCTTCTACCCTTCTAAAAAATAAAGAAAAATGCTTCTGCCCAGCGAACTCATTTTTACACTAAAATTCATTCCGGCGTTAGATTTAGCTATACTTTAGAAGCATTTTTTGTTCTGGTTTTAAGCACCCTTTCCCCCCATGTTTCTGGTCTCTAACACGTTACCTACAGTTTTTATAATTATATTTATATATTATATTTATAATATAATTCATTTTAAAAACTGATAGTTGATTTTAAATATGGTCCTAACTGAATGTTGCTGTTCTGTTTTGCCCACCTAATGGAGGGTAAGGGTAAAGGTTTCCCTTGCTCGAAAGCCAGTCGAGGCTGACTCTAGGGTTGCGGTGCTCATCTCCGTTTCAAAGCCGAAGAGCCAGCGCTGTCCGAAGACATTTCCGTGGTCATGTGGCAGGCATGACTAAACACCAAGGCGCACGGAACGCAGTTACCTTCCCACTGAAGTGGTACCTATTTATCTACTTGCAATTTCTTGCTTTCGAACTGCTAGGTTGGCAGGACTGAAACTAGAGACGGGAGCTCACTCTGTCATGTGGCAACTCGGGTCTCGAACTGCTGAACTACTGACCTTCCACAGCCTGCAGTTCAGCGTCTTAACCACTTGAGCTACCGCAGCTCCTTGTAATGGAGGGTAGAGCTTTGTAAAATTCTCCATACACATAATGTAGGAGAAGCCATGTTGGATCAGGCCAGTGGTCAATCTAGTCCAGCATCCTGTTTTATACAGTGGCCAGTCAGATGCCACAGTGAAGCCCACAAGCAGAGTCTCACCTGCTGACTGTTGTCTAGCACCTGACACAGTGAATGCATTTCGTTATCACATATTAAAGCTAATAAAAAGTAGATGTATCTTTCACAAGGTTGTCCACCCCTCTTTTAAACCTATCTAAGCCTGCAACTCTCACCCTTTTTCATGGCAGTGAGTTCCAAAAATCCAGCTACCCATTATGTGACAAAGTACTAGAACAGTTGTTAAGCTAACTGATCTATAGTTTCCCTTTTTGAAGAAGTCAATGTGATGTTGCCCATATGCAGTCTTCTGGTAGAGATGTTGCTATTAATGATGGCGTCTATATTTTTGCTAGACTAACACTTCTGTTTTTGAGTTCTTTAAGAACTCTTGGGTTTATGCAGTGATTTCTTTTTTTTTTTGAATGAGTCAGTTATCCCTACAACTAGTTTGTTCATTTATAGCCTACCTTTCTTGCTGAGACTCAAGGTGATAACTATCCGTCAGTAAGAGAACTGCTACTAACAGTGTAGTACAACTAGGGTTACAGAACTGGAGAACAATGGAAGCAAGCAAATGGAGCTATTTTAAGGACAGACATAATATAGTGAATAACAAAGGCAGACAGTGCAGTAAAAGGAAAGTAATATGTACTCCTGTAGTTAACTACATTCTTCACTTATCTGCTGTGAAAATTTTGGATCAGATATATGCCTAACATCTTCCACAGTGAAGCCAGATGCAAAGGATTAGATCATCTTATCCATAGACTCACTAATTTTAATGGATTTTATGTATTTTGTTATCTATATTGTAAGCCATCTCTAGCTCCATATGGAAGAAAATGGCCAATGCATGTTTTAAGTAAATAGAAATAGTTCCCCTTAGTGGCCCAGTTTTAATTTTTGTTATTTCTTTCCCTTCCCTTAATGCTTTAAAGCTGCTGGAAACTCCTGTGCTGTCACCTGAGAAATGTTCTGACAAGTACCTTTTGACCCACTAGTTTTCAGAGCAATAGGTGGCAAGCCCAAGCCCCCCGCCCCCACAAGCTTGCAGCCATCTCTAATATCTAAGGCAGGGTTGCAGAGTGAAATGTAATATCACCAACTTTCAGCCTGCTGGTCTTCAGAGCCAGGGCAGAAAGATGCCCAAGCCCATGAGAGGTGCCACAGTTGAGTAGATGCCTGGTTTTGCCTTTCTGGCCCTTGCTTCTTCCTTTCCAATCACTGGGATCTTTTCCTCTGTTTTGCTTCATTCTGTTTTCCCTTTTAGCTTGTGTGATATGCCCACCAAACGATGAGTCTGTGGCCCAGAGATCATAAAGTCTCTGCATAATAAGTAGAGTGGTGGTTTATCCAAACAAATGGGAACATGATTCCCCAAGCCCTATGCTGTTGTTCAGTTGTGCTTCAAAACGATAACTCTTCTGGCTACAGATCACTTTTGTAACCCTGTATTCATTTTCCTTTACCCTTTACCTTTGGCTTGTTTCCAAAATATAAATTTTGTTGCTTAC